TGCGCATGGCAGAATGAAACTACAGGAGAAACATTACAGTCTAGTTTCCTTAGTATTGAACAATGAGGAAAGGATTTCACTGTGGAGCAATGGCCTTCAAAGGAGAATCAAACCTACTTGCTGATAGTACACTAGTATTGAAACTGCTTGCATCAGATCCTAACAACTGTTAAGAAAAAAAAACAGAAAAGCAAATAGATATCAGCTAGAAAGCATTTAAAGAACCCATTCAACCACTTGATCAATTAACTGCAATCTTAAATCATACAGAGAACTAGAGAAGATGATAGAAAGATGTATGGACAAAAGGAAATTGAGAATCCTAATTTTGCTTAATTTCGAGACCAACCCATTTTTTCCAATCCTTTTCCCATCCATGAATTCAAAAAACCAAACAAACTAGTCTTATTGCTATGTTTTTACTTCAGTGTCCTTTTATGAAAACTTTATTTTAACTTCTAATAGAATATATGGGCGCTTTTATTGAAAGTTTAAATTTCAAATTGAGCCTGCATTGTATGGTGAAATTGCTAGACTTGCCAGCATAAGCATCATGATCCAACGGTTTGTTCGTTTTTTTTCTTTTCCTGAGTTTTTCTCGGCATATTAAAGCATTCAAACATTTGAAAGAACTATTATAACCAAAAAAAAAAAAAAAATGAAGTACAAAAGCTAACCTTCAGGTTGATCATTTTCGGAGAACTCTTTCTCAAGAACCCGATCGAACATTTTGGCAATACTCCCTTCTCCGGTACCCGTCGACGACGAATTCGCAAGGTTACCATAAAACCTTTCTCGGATTTCCTTATCAGATCTCGCCGCTATGCATATCCTCGCGTGTAACAGTATCAACACCAAATAATAAACGCATCCAAACACTCCACGTCTCGAGGAGATAATCGCCATCGATTCCGTAAATCCCTCTCTCTCTCTCTCTCTCTCTCTCTCTCTCTCTCTCTCTCTCTCTCTCTCCCTTTTCCTTCTACTTTGGAACAAAATTTGCGGAGAAAAGTGAAAAAAAAAAAAAGGCAATGCAGTAGGGAATGTGTTAGAGAAAGTCGGTTAATTTGAAATCTGGATCGAAGAGAGGGAGGTTTATAGACGTAGCTGGGTTCGTTAATTGGGATTTAACTGTCTGGCGGGATCACATGTGTGACGATAGCAGGTCGATTAATATTAAAGAAAATGTTTTTCTTTAAAAAAAAAATTGCTAATTATTATTACAGGGGAAATAAGATGAAAAGACATTTTCTAACCATTTCAAAACCTGGAAAGTTTTTGGTTAAATTCATTTTATTATGTTTCCATTGTTAGAATCAGACTTTTATGTCACGAGTTAAATTTAATTACTACTGTAATAGTACGATGAATTAATCAAGCTCTTATACTTTAAGTGTTCTTAGTACCTGTTACGTCTAAATTATTACTATTATTATTTTGCGCAATCAAATATTAATAAATTTTATGTTTATAATTTTTTTTCAATGCAAAATATATCATATTAATTTTAATTTTAATATTTTTATCATTATTTTAAAATTAAAATTTTAAAAATAAAATAATTCAAATTAATTTTAATATTTTTTTTAGTTTTGGAATAAATTTATTTAATAATTTTTTTGATTAAATTAGAATTTAATTATATTAAGACTATAAGTATGTGATTATTTGCTTTTAAAAATATATGTAACTCTAGTCCTTCCTAAAAAAAAAACCCGAGTTCTTCCACTTTATTAATAACTCTATTTTTTTTTTATCATCAATAATTTTTTCTTTTACAATGGTGAATAAATATTTAATATCGTCAGCTGGTAAAAAACATAAAAATTATCAATGCGTCAACAAGTCAACCTTTAAGACCCCACATAAATGAGAATGTTGTTTATGGTTGGTGCGTTACAACATTTACAAGGGAGATGTTGAAATGTTTAATCCCTTCATTACCCAAAAATAAATAAACATGATTAACCTTTGAAAATGCCATGAACTTATCCTTTAGAATGCGGGTCGTGACATCCGTTGCCAATCTTTTGGGCTGCAGGAGCTAACTTTAGAAAATGGACTGAAACAACCGGGCTAATTTTGGGCTCGCGATCCATCTATCTGTCACAACTCACAAAGTCTAAAAGGTCCATTTCCACAGTATCACCCATACCAATGTGTAAAATGACCTGTCACTTGTTGCATTCACTGCATTGAGAGAGCGTGTTCTCCACAAGTTCGTCACCCAATTTTATGCAAAGATAACCCCCGCATTTGCCATCCAAAGCCGGAGACGCAATCGCAAAATTCTCAACAATCCAACTCAGAGTTCAGATAAACTCTTTGGATGGCGTCGACTATGAGCACTTACGGTTCTGGCGTCTTCCAAAATGTTTCAATGGCTGTGGGGCTGAGGCTCAAGCGAAGCCCTGGTGTTGCTGTTGGTGTTGCTACCACTAATGCAAGGCCTAGGCGCTCAGCGGCTGTGGTGGTCAGGGCAGAGGGTCAAACCATAAACCCGGAAATAAGGAAGACAGAAGAGAAGGTGGTTGACTCTGTTGTGGTCACTGAGCTTGCCAAGCCGGTTACTGCTTATTGCAGGTTGGTTCTCACTGTTTATTAAGTATTTCTTACCATAATATTGATTTTTTATGTGGCTGAATTTCAGTATAATATCATTAATTATATCTTCAAGGTTTGTTTATTTGGTTTTGTATTGTTTAAACATAGATGTTGGAGGTCAGGAACTTTCCCCCTTTGCGATGGAAGCCATGTAAAGCACAACAAGGCTACAGGGGACAATGTTGGGCCTTTGCTCTTGAAGAAGCAGTAGCAATTTATAATTGGTTTTTCTATCATGGTTTTGGTTTCTCATGTTAATTTTGATTACTGAAATGTTTACTAAAGTTTTCATCTGGAGAACGATGTTTGTGTTGCTTGTCTTTTGATTGGGTTGAGCTCTCTGCTTTCATATTGCTTAGTGTTTCCTCAATTATGTTTTCATACACCATCAAATGCAAGCAATATTGCTGCTCTTTAAACCTTAGACGGCCAGACATGTAACAATATAAGAAGAAACGGTAGATGTTATGATGTCAAAGGAGTACATTAAGACTCTGAGAGTGGGAATCCTTTTTTGTTTTTACGAATGATTTATTGTGAAAGGGATGATTTGAATTTTGCAGTTAATTACCTACTGTGACATCTTGACTCTAATAACTGGAACAAAAAGAATCAATAAGCCATGGCTCCTAGTTAATCTTTAAGTGATGCCAAGATGTATGCCTTAGTTATTGATTTTGGTTCTTTTTCCCTACTTGGTTTGGTTACCTTGTATAGCCACACTAGAAGGAAAGAGTTTTGGATTGTTGCATAGTCAACTGATATGTGACCAAGGATTTTGGCCCAATGGTCACCCTAGCACTACAGGGGTCTCTCACTGCTTATAAGCTATGCCATCAAAGCCCAAGTGGTTTTATATTTCCCCCAACAATACATTAGAAAAAAGAATTTTTTTTCTTTTTTTGTTATTTAGATTTCAATAGGTTGAGAAGTTGTAAGAAAATATTTTTTTATAAATTTATTAGGTCAGATGTAAATAAAAAATCTTAAATCCGACCAAAGAGTGAGAATATATTTAACAAAATCCAAAAATCCCTTGATAATAAAAATATATATTTCATTTAAATTGTCTACCAAGGACCAATAGCATCCAAGGTTTCATTTACGTTCAATTTATATTTTTGCTATTTGTTAAAAATAAAAAAGTGAACTGATCAAGCTTTAAGCCTCTATAGTCTATGGTTTGATGAAATTTTAAGTATTTGACTTGTTTTTTATTTGAAACGAAAAAAAAAAAAGAGTACTAGTTGACTTTTTCTAATTTTTATTTCTCCCTTATGCACGTGACATTGGAGAAATTGGTGGTGATATTAGTTTGGTTCACTTTGAATTATTATTAACAACATAGGCGGAGATCACTGAAATTTATGCAATTCACGTTGGGTTAGTTAATGAGAGTAAACCATAAGATGGATGCCCCGATGTCACTTATAATTATTCCAATCTTTAGAATAAGCTGCCTTCCATGTGATCAAAATTAACACCACCGAATTTCCAGCAAAATTTAAAAAGGTAAAAGGATAAAAAAAAAAAAGTCCTTAAATTAAAATTTAATAATTATTCAAATTTTTATTGTTTTTTCAATTAATTAAATTGTTAAACCTTTATTTTCATTAATTGAATTCTTATTAAAAAACTAATTAATTGTTTTCATCCAATGAAAAGTTTAATTGAATGAAATATATATACATATAAAAGTACAATTGGAGGATAATAAATATTTAAGAGTTTACTTGATTTGAAATTAAAAAAAATTAAAATTTAATTAATTATAATAAAATATTATTATTAATTTTTTGTTTGAAAATTTTTTTGACCTTTATACCAAAGAAAAACAACTTTGAAAGGCATCAAGGAAAGCAACCGCCCTTTTCTCATTGAGTATCACGGGGTGACACATAAGTTCAATCAAAATAATTGAATTTATTTTTCAGATGATTAACTCTGTATGATCGTGTCTAGCCGATTAGCCAATAAATTGCTAGATAGGGAAAGCAAGGAAGAAGAAAAGAATCAAAAAAGTGGGAAAAAACAAAAATGATAAAGAGGGAAATAAAGAAATGGAAAGGAGAGAAAGAAGAGGAAAGAGGCACTTGGCTAGCCTTAAGATAGATCCATTATCGGTCTGTTTTGGACCGATCAAATCAACCACCAATAGAAGCTTTGAAAAAAAAGACTTAAGGAGAAAGGGGGAAAAAAAATAAAGGAAAGGAGGAGATATATAAAGGGTTACGGGAGAGAGGTGAAATTGGCCTACCACTAATCTAGTGCCCTGAAATAGATTTGTCGCCGATTTGGCTCAGGTTGACCAGCACATTTCTTGTTCCTTTTTCCTTTTTTTTTCTCATTTTGGCTCCCCCTTTCTCTTTTTTTTTTTTTTTTTTCATTTTTTAAGTATCAATCTAACATAAATAATATAATTTAAGAATGAAACTATTAACTAACCTTTAATATTTATATAGAGATGAATATCTAGACCACTTTGAAATCAACCAAGATAGATATGATGAGGCAATTTAACTAGTGCTACTATTGGAATTACTTCACCACCGACTAATTAGCCGGACAAAACCAACCGTTCATTAAAGACAAAAGGAAAAAAAAATAAAGTGATGTTCAAAGTGACAACGCTCTATCATCATTGGATACTGAAGGGTCTAAAGAACCATAGTGGCATAATTAAAGTAAACGATTAATGTCGATTTAAGCAGACAAAAAAAGCGATGAAATTTATTATTAATTTAATCTCAATCTTCCCATATCTTATTATTATGTTGTAAATATACACGGTACTTGATAGATCATCTATTAATTCTTTGCCAACAAGAAACAAAGCATTTGAAGATTCCTTCCCTTCTTTCCTAAAAGGCAACCACCTGCTAACCTCTAAACACACCCACGTCCTTTTCTTTTTTTTTTAATATTTATGTTGGTTTAAACCTAAGTCATAAGAAGCCCTGGTTTGAATGTATTTTATTCATAAATATTAAATATTTAAAAATTATAATAAGTCTTTGATTTTATTTTTTTTTAATAATAATGGATTGTTGCTTATTTGTGTTTTGTTTGAGGTGGACAAAAAGGGACATTTAAAGAATAAGAGATAAGAGATCATGCATTATTTTAACTTTGGTTGAAATTCCTTAAGCACTTCTGCTTAATATCATAGACTATTCTCTGCATCACTTGTTAAATTCATAGCAAAACAATTTATTTCCCTATAAAATTGACGGAAAAATTTGGCAACTTCTGCCCACGTCATCTACTTCTCTCTTGTCGGTGGGTCAAACTTCAATACGCCAATTTTTTTTATATAAAATCTTTTTTTTTTTTGACAAATAATACTATACCGAATCGAAATCAATTTGTTTAATTTTTTAATATAAGTTATTTTGAACTTTTATAATTAAATTTAAATTTGAATTGAATATTTTGTTAGATTGAATCTAAATCAAAATTTATAGGTTTAATATAATTTTATTTTTTTTTTAATTTTTTGTTTTTACTTTTATTATTTTTAATATATTTAAATAAAATTATATATGAAGTATTTATTTTTTATAAAAACTATAAAAAAACTAATAAAAATATTATTTAATTCAATTCAATTTTTTTATTTTCTTACTTTATGATCTAAAAATAAATTTGAAAAAAATTAAATTAAATAAAAAAATCAATTTAAATTGAATGAATGTTATAATTTTAAATTGATTTTTTATTTTCTTATTTTTTTTCTTTAGCTTTAATTTTATTATATGATAAAATGATACTTGTTTCCGATGATCAAGTTTCACCAAACCTTCAATTGCTGTCCAAGAATCACATGATCCAACCGCCAAGTTTATAAACTTGTTATTGCTATCTTCACATAAAAAGCTTGTTGCAATATTTCATCATTTTACACTGCAAGCAATTAATTGCACAAAAAAAAAAATGTGGCAGTTTTGTAAATTAATTGGAAAAGATAGCAAATGAATATATCCTTTTCCTTCCAATCAAACAATATGTATACACAAGTTTTTAAACTTATGTAATTGAAATGATTCTTTCATTTCTCAAATAATTGCTTGCTTCTATAAAACAACTTTGTCAAATATACACCAAAAATATGCAAATTATTGTTGTTAAGGCAAAAAAAAAAAAAAAACAAAGGGCATTTACCTTATCCATCAAAGGCAAAGCAATATCATGTGCAAAAACGATCCCATTTACGATGTTTCTGGATGTGGGCGCAACTTGAAGCCCTTCTACCATTTATGTCCTGCCAAGTGTCCAATTACTAGCCGATTTGTCGCCATTTTCAGATACACACCCTATAATTTCTCTTCACTTTCCCTTGCAAAATTCCAAAAGCAAATTTGTCGCCACTCATCTTGGAATGGTAACGGTCCCATCTTTCTACTGGAACCCATATCAGAGAGTGCCACGTATGTCCTCACAGCTAGCCACAGCTGCACCTGATAGCACCTCCCAATGCCAGCTTAATTGAATTTGTAATTAGATTAATGGTTGAAACGATCTGGTTTCGCGCCCATCAACGACAGATCTAACAGGTGTAAAGGTTTCGTGTCATGCCCCGTAGCTTGACCTCCACTCGGCGAAAGTTGCATCATTAGTCAATTCTCGGAGCTTTTGACTTTTATGTGTTTCATCATCACCATTTAACTGTGATGAAGGAGGATTTAGAAATGTTGATTTGGAAATTTGAATGTACGGACAGCTTATCTGTGATCATCAGATTATTAGACCGTGGAAAAGCTTCTTTTCCTTTTTTTTTTTTTGGTTTGCATTGTAAAAACGAAAATATAATTAGCTGAGTGTTTTGGCCCTTCAAAATGGTATGTTAATGATTTTGTTTATGCAATTGTTCTTACTAAAAAAATAACATTTAAAAAAATTAATATTAAAATTTCAATATTTATTTTTTTATCCATAAATTGCAATATTTTTGTACTAAAAAAATAATTTAAGTGAAGTTCAAATATCAAAGAAATAGAAATTAAAAAAAAGTTAAAATTAAAAAGAAAATCATTGAGTTGCTAGACTTCATTAAATAAAAAAAATATAATATATAATATAATAACTTTTTTCCTAACCATTTATTAACCGCTAAGAGTATAATTTTTTATTTAAAAAAAAAAGAAGCTGGAATCATGAATAAATAAATAAATAAATAAGCGTTTGAATTAAACAGTAAGATACTTAAACCTTAAATAATTAGTAATTACTAGTATATTTTTAATTAATAATATAAACTTTATTAACTAAGTAAGTTTTACGCTATTTACTTTTGCATCAGAATCTATGCTGTCTAACTCTATTATTTCAATGCAAATTTTAACTCACAAAAGTACTTTCCTTTTCCCTGAAAAGAGAAAAGGAAACTTACAAATTGGGACAATGCACACCATAATAATTTAATTTGCCACCATACCATGATATATACATTGAAAAGGAAATACATTTTAAAACTTACTAAGAAATAAATCAAAAGTATTTTTATACCCTTAATTTTAAATTAAAATTTCAACTTGTTTTTGTTTTAATAAAACAAAAGGAGAGAGAAAGGAAAACGAGGACATATATTTGTAGCATTAAGTTGGGATTATTTTCCTATAATTTTTTATTATAATTTTATAATTATTTAATTATAATACAAAATTATATAGAAATTCATACTTATAAATGTGAGTTTTATATAAAATTTTAATGAATTTCATATAATTTTAGATTATGATTAATTAATTAATACAATGATAAAACCTTATAATGATAGATAATAACAGATACACTGATCTGTTTAGGTTGGGTTAGGATATATCTTATAAATGAATTCAAGTAAGATATTGGTAATAACTTTATGTTTGGTACATAAGATATAATAAGATAAGATAAAATGATAATATAAAGAAGATTATATTAAATAATATCATTATATTTTATATTTGATGTATGCAAAAATTATGATATGATAAGATAATTTATTTATTTGTCAAAACTATTTTTTTTAAAGTTTATATAATTTAAATTATTAATATAATTTTTAAAAGTATAATTGGACATATAAGTTTAATCTTATGAATTAAAAATAATCCTCTCCATTTGAGAAGAATTGAATAATTCTATGCCAAAAAAATATTAATCCTCTTTGTAATCTTTATTTCTCTCTTTAGATAGAAATCAAGCACGATATAAAATAATGATCATTTTATTCTATTAGCAATCTTACACATCAAACATAATTTTAGAGTATCTGATATCTGAATCCAATAATAAATAATTTATTTTTAATATTTATATTTATTTTTTAGTGTATGCATAATGATTTTTTTATAATAGTGTATGCATTGCTTAAAATTGATAAATTATTTTTAAAATTATATAAATTGTTTAAATATAAATTTTATTTTTAATTTTTTTATTCATTTTTAATTAATATAATACATAAAATAATTAAAAGTATATTTTTATTATTAAATTCAATCAAATCAATTTTTTTAACGAGTAGTAGCATTTTTAATTCAAATAAACATATTCAAGTTTTAATCAAATTATAACAAAATATTGTTCATTGAATTCGAGTAAGATATAGATATTATATTTTTATAATTAGATTTGAGTATGAATTTTCAAAATTAATAAATATTTGACTCTTGACTTTTTTAATTAAAAAGTAAACTTGACATAGTCTTTTAAAATGGAATTTGACCATTTAAAATTTAAATATGATTTTAACAACTTTGTTTTAACTTTTTCACTATTCCTTTTCAATTGTCAATAAAATGTTTGTTTTAAATTGATTAGCTTTGGACGACATCTAGCAGGTTGATAATTTTATCCATAATCAAATTTGATCTTAACAAATTGAATTTAGCTTCCTTTCAGTTTATCTTGATGGCAAGGTATTGCTGACGATGTGTCTCCTCAAATTCTCTCTTTTTGTTAAGATGAAATTTGTTAAAAATTGAAGTTGAAGTAAGGATGAATGAGTACTTTTGATTTCCATCTTAATAAATTTTATATCATATTATATATATATATTTTTTTTTTCGGCTAGATATTTTATTTCATTTTCAATCAATATTTCCTGGTGTGGCGCAAAATCAAATTATTCTTGGTGCAGTACCCTGATTTGAAATTCTTCGAGAGAAACTCTTTTCAGTTAATCTACGGCAAGGTGGGAATCAGCGGACGCTACACACCCTGTCGGTTGCCCTGGAAGCCAGTAACCACAAGCCCTTTTTACTCTCCGCAGCCAATTTCTACCCATTCAAACTCCCGTATACAAATACAACTTACTCCAAAGTCTCGAAGGCTCGACGCTCATAAAAGGAAAAAAAAAAAAAAAAAAACTTGCAAAAAATCAGCACAACTTTGCCACTTTAAATGCTCCATGAGCCACACAGCGTCAGAACCCCAAAACCGCAGTCCTCGCTCCTAGGTACTATCCTCTCACCATCTTTGCCTGTCAGTTACTTCGGCCAAAACTTCCAAAAAAAAAGCTGCTCCCAAAGAGATCTTGATGCTTCCAATCTCGACCCCAAAATCCCCTTCTTTTCCTATCTCCAGCGCCCCTATATCCTCCCCTAATAAAGCCAAAACCCTCGAACTGAATTCAGTCGAACGCAAAACCTCCTCTAACTCTCTCCATTTGCAACCTTATTTCATTTTACCCAGCCTTAATCGCTTATGGCTGCTCCTTTTCATCATCTCACTCCAGATAATCATCCTCCTCATGGTTCGCGGCCTCCCTCTCTCCCATCGCCGAACCCACTTCCCTTCCCCTTTATCCGCCGATCAGAAACTACTCCAAAAATCGACTAACTTTTCATCAACCAATCCCTCTTACTCCCACCACCTAAAATCCACCGACATTTCGATTTCGTCCACTGTTTCGCCATCCGACCAGTGTTCCTCCGGTCGTATATTTGTCTACAACTTACCGGCTGTTTTCAACCAAGAGTTATTAGATAATTGCGATGAGTTGGACCCATGGCATTCACGTTGCGAAGCTTTATCCAACGACGGATTCGGGAGAGAAGCCACGGCGTTATCCGGCGTCGTCCCGAAGGATTTGATCCCAGCATGGTACTGGACCGACCAGTTCGCCATGGAAATTATTTACCACAACCGTATTTTAAACCACAAGTGCCGTGCGATGGAACCCGATTCCGCGACAGCGTTTTACGTTCCATTTTACGCGGGACTCGCCGTTGGAAAATACTTGTGGTTTAATTATGGTTCAAAAGATCGTGATAGTTACTGCGAGATGATATTGAAGTGGGTGAAGGATCAACCGCATTGGAGCCGTTCCGACGGCTGGGATCATTTCATGACGATGGGGCGCATCACATGGGATTTCCGGCGGTCCGAAAACGAAGACTGGGGCTCTAGATGTATCTACATGCCAGGTATGAGAAACATCACGCGTCTTTTGATTGAACGAAACCCCTGGGACTATTTTGACGTCGGTGTGCCTTACCCCACCGGATTCCACCCCAGATCGGACTCCGACGTCTTGCAATGGCAAGACTTCGTCCGTAACCGCAACCGCAAAACCCTCTTCTGCTTCGCTGGTTCGCCACGTGGCACCATCAAGAACGATTTCAGGGGCTTGCTGTTGAGCCATTGCAAGAACGCGTCCGGGTTATGCCGGCCTGTGGACTGTGCGGGTACCCGCTGCTCCAACGGCACTTCCGCGATCCTTGAAACGTTTTTGGATTCCGATTTTTGCTTGCAGCCGAGAGGCGATAGTTTCACCCGCAGGTCAATATTTGACTGCATGGTGGCCGGTTCGATCCCGGTTTTTTTCTGGCATCGAACGGCTTATCTTCAGTACCAATGGTTTTTACCAAGTGATCCTGAGAGTTACTCTGTTTTTATCCACCGCAACGAGGTGAAAAACGGAACATCCATTAAAAGCGTGCTTGAGAGTTACAGTAGAGAAGAGGTGAAGAAAATGAGGGAGAAAGTGATTGAATATATTCCTAAGTTAGTTTATGCAAAACCTCAAAAGGGTTTGGAGAGTATAAAAGATGCATTTGATGTTGCAATTGATGGAGTGTTAAAGAGAATTAAGGAGCAAGAGCAGCCTGGATACAAGTGGAAATGAAAATGTGGAAGGTGAGGGTTCAAACAAAATGTGGAGAAAATAGGATTATACAGAATATTTAATTTTTTCATTTTTAAAGATTGGAATAGGGGCATATCTATTCTTTCGTCTTACAGTGTTGTATTTGTGTTTTTGTATAATAATAATAATAATAATAATGACAATAATAATAATAATAATAATAATAATATACTCCTAGTATATTTTTTCTTTTGTGGATGTTTATTCTATGAGCGGCGATTACAGATGTAAATTTTTTGTTGGGGAAATACATATGAGAGTTTCAGAATTATTACTGTAGCAGCAGTTGGGGAGGTTTTAGAGTTGAAGTGGATGGTGCTTGCTGCTGCTGCTGCCCTTTTAGGCTTTTACCAGAAGGTTGAGAATCTTGAGATAATGGGAAAGGACCACCATGTTTGGGGTGGTCCTGCAATCTTTGGCTGGCTGGAAGATTGAAGAGGGTCGGGCTAATAAGGATGGGAGGAGTGGGACAAACATATTAAGCATGGTAGGACAAATTAGATTTGTGGGAATCATATGTAATAGTATTATTTTTATTTTTTCTTTTGGTACAGGGTCAAGGAGGTTTGGGAAAACTGAATCCTGCTTCCTGAAATTACAGAAGGGTCATGCACGTATAATTATGATATTTAGGAATGGTTTTTTTGAAAGATTACGATGAATTTGTTAAGATATATCTGCTTCACAATCTTAATTGTTATAATTTTCTTCTTTCTTAAAATAAAAAAAAAATCATTTTTCTTCTTTTCTGAAGGTTTTCCAGTCTAGTCTAGTCTAGTTGAAAATTTTTATACTATTTCTTTTATTCCCTTGTTCGTTTTCTAGTTTGGTTTCGTTGTTGAAGAAGTAGTAGTAGTAGTAGCATAAAAAATGGTGGATTGGACATCGGGCAATGAGCAGGTGGCACAATTTGTCGGCAGCAGCAGCAGCAGCACTGCCACTGAACACCCAAATAGCTGAAGTTGGAAGAAGGTATCGGTCTTCCCCAAATTGGCTTATGATTGGAATTGTCATATTAGAGGTGAAAAAAAAAAGTTAAAGAAGAGCTCGTATAATATATACATAATTATAATTGTCTTGAATCGCATTTGCTATCGGTTCTTGTTGAGACTTGAGAGAGTGTTTGGTGGGTAATGGCTTTTTACATAAAAATTGTAATAACCTTTGAACATCTTTAATGGCGGGCCTCTTAGGGAAAAATGGCATAAAAGCAACAAGGAATCTCAATCTTTTGTGACTTTTCTCAATTCTCTTTTCTTTTTCTGTGTCAAGCCACTCCTGCACTGCTTTTCTTTTCTATAGAAAAGTATTGTAGGCCTGTCGACAAGGGGAAAACAATAGAATTGCATGAGCTTTTTTAATTAAAAAAATACATTTAATCACATTCACCAAAAAAAAAAAAAAAAAGAAGAACATTAAATTACAATGCCTCTGATGGATGAATCATTCTTGTCGAACTAACAATGGAAATTCTTTTTTGGTAGGGTAAGCAATAATCAATAATATACTAACTAGAAAAAGACAAATAATTTTATAACAGTACAACAGAGACGTGGAGTCGAAGATCAGTTTCAACTTTCAAAACAAAGTGGAAAATACAAAGTGGTCTCAAATCTCAATGGATGGGAAACAGAGAAGGGCCATTTTATATTTCTATTTCTCTGAATAACAATGTCTTCCTCTTCCCTATGCAAACGGATGATTAACGAATACATCAACAAACCTTAGAAAATTTCTTTTTCAACGCAAAGTAGATAAATAATATCCATATGAACAAATCATATAAGCTCAAGTGTCAGCGTCAATGTAATTTATTAATAGAATACTAAATTTTAATTTTAATAATTAAAAGTTTAAATTTTAACAATTTTAAATATAAAAAAATTCTCATGAATACCGATAATGGTAAGAGTAAGTAAAAATTAGTTTAAATTAATTAAATCGATCGAAATTGAGTGAAATTTATTGAATACATTTGGTTTACTCAGTTTTGATTATAATTGATTTTTTAAATTAATTAAATTGATTAATTTAGTCTATTTTTAATTTTTAAAATTAATAACCGTATTAATCGAATTAATTGACTTTTTAATAAGTAAAAGTAAAAAAATTAAAATAAATATTTTTTTTTGTAAAATATTATTTAAATTATTAAAATTTTTAATCATTTAATTTGAATGATATTTAAATTTAAATTTTATTGAATTAAATTTGTTATTAAATAATTATTCATCATAAAAATATGATAAAAAAATAAGTTATTTAAGTGAACCGATTAAATTAAATTAATTTTGATTAATTTAATTATGATTAATTATTTAAAAATATTTGATCAATTTAATTATTTATTAAATAAAAATTAATTAAATTAATTATTAACTTTTTTAAATCGAACCGATGAAACCCATCGAATCAATCTATTGCTCGCCCCTAGACAATGGAGCTATCACCTAATTTTTAAATTTTTGTTTGCCAATTGTAGTCTTCCAAAGTTAAAAGTTACTATATATACTGTGGAACAGAAGGTTTTTTTTTTATTTTTTAATTAAATTATTTACATCATTTATTTTTGTTCCAAAGTCGTCGGCGACAATCAAGGGTAGAAACCCTTGAACTGCTTCTGCATGTGATTTGCCACTAAATTTAAATTGTTTCAACTGGTGGGTCTAGGTGAAATTTATGTTGAAACCTGTTGAATGCGATCTTTCTAAGTTACCGGCTACAATGCAATGAGAAGTATTTGCTCTAATACACAGTGACCCGTCAGTGACACTCAAAATGCTTAGGTTCTCCACAAAATGTATTAAAAGTTCGTGGATCTATAAGGATGCTCGGACTTCAATCCAGATCTATTATTAATATTTGATTAAATTAATTTATGAATATATAAAAATATTTAGAATGAAAATAAAATAAAATAAAATATTAAATAAGTAAAATAATATAAAACCACTTTATTTTTTCTCTTCACAAAAAAAAAAAAAAGTTTGCCGGCAACAAACCTAAATGTAGACTGAAAGACAAGACAATTGTAAAGGTAACACCTGTACCAATTCATTTGCATTCTAAGCAACTTTTCTGAATTGGTTTCATTACCTCCTTTGAAACTTTGAGTATCTCTATGAACATGGGCAAGCTCCTTTCATTTGTTAAAATATATCCTTTATATCTTATCACCGAGTACTTCCAAAACGATATCAACAAAACGGGAGAAAATTTCATGCAATCATATCAAATTGAAGGGCAAAAGCTGTAAAAAAGAAGAAAAAAAAAATCTACTATACTGCTGACAGAATCTCTGTTCAATTCCATTAATAATGACTTTGACAGTCTTAGAGTGAGCCTCACAAGCCTTATGCCTCATGTGATAATCTTTGGAGGAGCTAAGATCCTTGTTACAACCAAAAAGTTAATAGCAAGGAGTATGAAAATTTGAGCTTGTCATGCGAGTTTCCTTCACCATCAACTAGACGAACTAAAGAAACAACAGAAGTTTCCTTCAAAAATTTTCCATCCTGTGCATCTGTATAATCAGTCAATCTCCTTAGCTTAAAATCAATGAGTGAAGATTCCTGACTGTTAAGCAAACCAAAATTACTACCAAACCAAACTCTAGAAACCCAAAAAAGCAAGCAGACCCAAAAAGTAAGCAAACCAAAATTACTATCAAACCAAGCTCAACTTCCACCTAACGTGTTCATCTGCCTTCTAAGTTGGAGAGTAAAGTTGGTGATGATTCAGATGGGACTTCTCATCATTATCATCGAAATTGAGGCTCCCCTCCTCTTCAAGCTCTATATAAACTTCACTTCTTTCCTTGCCATCCAAATCTTTTGAGTTTTCAGAATGAAATTTGGATTGTTTGCCACTTGATGGAGAATTAGTTTCCTCTTGTTGTTGCATTTCTAATTCTATCAATGCTTGCATTCTTGCTTTCTCCCGGTCTCTTGGATATGTGCAGTAAAGGAATGAGTAAATAAGGCAACAAATTGCCATTGGAATCCCACTTGCTGTGTAAAGTGCCTTAGTGAGTGATGCAGCATTCTCTCTATTCATCTCAATCACCATGGAGTCTGATGATCCTCTGCATATTGGTTTATAGCTGTAAACATGCTGAGCCAAAACCCAAATATAGGTGGAGCAAAAGATGCCAGTATAGACTCGAAAGATTGATCCAAGGCATAGATGCTTGTTTGAGATTTCTTATGGACAATCTCTGCAAATATTGGATCGTATACACCATTCATATACCACACAATCTCATCAAAAGCAGATATATTATTGCAATTATAATTAGAACATTCAATGAAAATACGAAACAATTGGCTAATGCTTGCATCAATGAATGCTCAACATGTAGCAGCACTGCAAGTAAAGGATTAGATCAATTTGGCCTATAGAATAATACCACAATTGTGCATAAAAATATCTGAATATAGCACCAGCAAAGCCAAAGAACATGGTATTGTTTGTTTGTCAAACCAAATACTAATTTTGCACAGTTTTTAATTTTCAGTGAAATAAGCATCTAGAAACTATTGATCAATTGCTTCCTATGAATAGAGCCCCTAGGTTCCACAATTCAATGCCATTCATCTTCTAGGTCTATCATTTTACTATCACTACCAGAGCACTGAAACTACTAAACTTGTTAAATTCAACATCTACAGTTTGAATGTGGTTTTCAATGTAGGCAACATACTCTTTTGTCCCTGAAAGATTTCTACACGAATTCACATGAATATCTTCATCATCTGTAAGTGAGTGGGGAATCTAAACTAAGTTCTATATGAGGCTGCGTTAAGTCATACAATTTAGAACCTATATTTTCAGAGAAAATGATATGTAGTCCACTTGTAATTTTTCTTGTCCTACTTCTTACAGTGATCACTATCCTTCATGTTACTTTAAACATAGTCTTTAAGGTGAAATAGTTTAATTTTGACACCATATCTAGTAGGGTCACTTGCATTATTGTGCTGTGATGAACGATAAAAAAGCAATTTTTTTGGACTTCATTGTCTTTACAGTCAAACCCAAACATGATAAATTTATCACCAAATTAGTTATTGGAAATATTGAAAAGTAAGATGGACCAAGAAGATGTACTTGTTAGTTGCTGGAGCATTCCAGGATATGCACAATCCCATGATTGAAAAAACCAAACCATGCATAAATGCAGTGAAGGGATCATCAGGTAATGCCAACATCAGAACTGCTGCTATAGGGATTGCAGAACCTATGCTTATCTGTGAAAGTATAATTCTCCCAGAATTGGGCAAGCCTTTCGCTAAAATATCTCCCATCCTTCCAACAAAGAGACCACCAAGTAAATTTGAAACTAGAAAAAGGGTCATGATAAATGCTGTTGTTTCATGGGAGAAGCCAATAAGTTCAAGCCACATTGGGGCAAACGACCAAGCTGACCAAGGGAATGATCCTGCAACACTTTGAGCAACAATAATTTGGAAAGTTGGGATTCTCATAACTGACTTTTCTTGTTTTATTATGTCCCTCACTTGATTTGAAAAGGACATACGTGCAACATGTTTTTTGGCTTATCATTGCTATCAGAAAATTGTGGATCCTTAGCAAAAGATGGACCAAGATACCAACTACGACATTGATTATCCAAACCAAATGGAAAGCAAATCTCCAGCCAGGTATCCCCATGATAGTTTTTGGTGGAGTCAGTGAACAACACAGCCCACCTAGGATGA